AAAAAAGAGTGACATCTATTAACAAGAAGGCTGAGAGAAGGTGATCTGCCCCTGAGTGGAAGACCAGTGGGCAACAAATGAGACCTTACCTCAAAAACAAAGACTTGAGGTCTGTAGCTTTCAGCATACTTGTGGAGTGGGGGGGGGGGGGCTGGGGAATCCTTGTATATTGAGTTAAGGAGAACAAGTTGGTGATGGTTGGGCTGCCATTCAGAGTAGGGCCTTAGATGTGTGAAGTCTTGCCCAGTTTTTTTTTTTTTTTTGGCGTCTGGCTTTAAATCTTCAGTAGATTTAGCCAGAACAGTTCCTTTGGTGATCTTCCCAGGTTGATGTTTACTTACTTATTTTCAGGCAAACCAGAATGATTCTAATCTCAATAGCTGCAAATTTATTCATTAGTGTATTTCAAGCACATGCTGTTCTCTAGTATTAATATTGCTGGAAGCAGCCTAAGTATGAATGTGTGTTTGTGGCAAGGTGCAGATTTTCATTTTGACATTTTGTCTTTTATATACTAAACCTTGGATGCCAAGACCTTTCCTCACTAGTATTGTAGTTGTAAATGCTAAATCTATACTTGACTTCACCACCTCCTGTCAAGATAAAGTTTCCTTTCCCTCAGAGGAGTTCAAAGGAATAATTTACTTCTTGGTCTGGGAAGATGTTATTTGCAGCCAGTTTCATGTGGACCCATCAACACAAATTTTCAGTGCCTAAAGGAAGCTCAGAAGTCTTTATTTCTCCCAAAAGGTAGCAGTTGAAATAAGAATTTTAGATTGCTCACTTGTTCTGAATTTTTTTGATACAGAAATGGCAACAATAAAATCCTAAGTGGGTGTGTGTTGATGTTCTCCGAGTTTAGTCAGAAAGTATCTTATGTAGCAAAACAGTTATTTATAGAGATAAAGGAAACTCAGTGTGTTTGGCAGCCCAGAGGGCAGAGTGATGATCATTTCTGGATATGTGTGTCTTTAGAAACTAAAATCACCCACCCAGGGATCCAAATCTCTGAGCTGAGTCACAGACATCTATTTGTAAAAAGAGGAGTGGCAGGTTTATTGAGGGTTTGATTTTAATTGTTTATTTTGCATTATAGAGAAGGTTTGCCATTATGCTGGGGATAGTTTGTTGAGATTCTAAAAACCAGGTGTTGAGTTTCACAAATTGCAGCCTTTTCATGTGTGACTAACCAGAAGAGCTTTTCTGAGCCTTCCCTGCATTTGTGTTTGTGCTCTGCAGAATAACCCTGTGAAGTAGTAGGTAGGGAAGTTATCTTCATTTTAGAGGCTCAGAGAAATGAAACATCCACCTTCTTGTATTAAGCAGAATCTTGGGATTCTGATCAGAGGAATGTTAGAAGAGACCACAGTCCTTGAGGTTTTCTTTGATGATAATATCTGTAACTGCATCAAACACAAATTTGACATTCTGTGTGTCAGTAGCACAGGTCATGTGGCTGTAGATTTCTTTGACATCTTTTCTCATATTGAGGTCAAGAAACTGGCTCTTGATATAATTCCCTGCATCCTCATAGGAGTTGTTCCCTGGTTTAAAAAAAAATAGTGAAGAATGGGATAAATTAACCCTTCTTAGTTACTTTTTTTTCTTTTCTGCTGTCCTAGAGTTTAGAATCTAAGGCCTCACCCATTTTTAGGCGACTTATTCCACATTGTGTTAGATAAACACAGTTGGGGCCTAATTTTGGAGGTAGTTATCTCTTGTACTCTAGTGCTTTTTATTGAGTGAAGCAAAACATTGAGGAGAGATCTCTGTATCTTCATATTTGGTTTCTAGCAGGTATCCTTTTCAACAGTGAGTGGCTCCCCTCAGTCTGCTATCTCCTGTGTTCTGGACACATCTGAATTTAAACCCTGTACCTGAATGCTCAAGTTTCTCCCTTAAGACAAGTTTCCTTTATGTCTCCTTGGCATGTGAGTCACTACTAAAAGGCATTGCTGTTATCTGCAGCAGTTGACACTTACCATCATACTCAGGAAAACAGATACTGAGATGGACTTTCTTGATCTTTTCCTCAAAGAGGTCCTTCTTGTTAAGAAAGAGGACAATAGAAGTAGCCGCAAAGAACTTGTGGTTACATATACTGTTGAACAGATGCAAAGACTCATGCATGCGATTCTAGAAAGAGGAAAGACCATTGGAAATAATCAGATTGGGTTTATGAGATACCTGTTTACTGTGTTCCACATGTGAAAGGAAAACAGGAAATAGCTTCTGTCCTTCAATGTGGAGTACAGCAAAACAGACCTTGGGATCTTGGTTGCTTTTCATTTCCTTTCATTTTGGTAGCTGGGTGATTCAACTGTGAGTCTCTATAATCCTTATAGAATTATTATGAAAGTTAAATAAGATCATGTATATGTGATTTCCATGATAGTGGTTAGAATCAAGGTATCCAAAAAAGATAGACAGATCTTTGGCAACCAGGATACAAATAAGGACTCTGGCGTTCATAAGTACTGCAGTTACAGGTTTGAAACCAGGCCCAAGTTAGCACATGTCCACTTGTCTCTTAAGATATTTTGATAAATTTCTGTCATGATATCCAGATCTCAGTTGGAGCAGGAACATGACATGGATACTTCGGCCCTGGTGACACAGTAAAGGAATTTCTTATTGCCACACCACCAGCACTTCTCTCTTATTTTCTTTGTTGCTACATTCAGAGACCAAGAAAAGCATTAGATATAAGCAGTATGGAGGTGGCTGTATTCTAGTCCAGCTTACTTTTAGGGAATAGTTTTTTGCTTTTTGTTTTTTTGTCCTGGGGCTTGAACTTGGCCTGGGCACTATCCCTTAGCTCTTCAGCTCAAGGCTAGCGCTGTACCACTTCAGCCACAGTGCCACTTCTGGTTTTCTGTTGGTTGATTGAAGATAAGAGTCTTATGGATTTTCCTGCCCAGGCTGGCTTTGAACTGCAATACCCAGATCTCAGCCTCCTATGCTGCTAGGATTACAGGCGTGAGCCACTGGCACCTGGCTTGGGGAACAGACCTATAGAGGCTTGAAATAGACCATAGAGTTAGAGCCTTTCTTCATTGTTAATACTTCTCCACAGCCCTTTAAGACCTCAGGATTTTAAGGTGGAAAAGATCTTGGAAAGTGAATAAATAGTGCTGTAAGACAGTGAGCAAGTGCTCTAATGTGAACCTGATCTATTAGCGAGAAGGGACAATAACTAGAGGAAGAAAACTTTGTTTTACAATTAGTAGGCAGCTGGCCTCCATTTGCAGAACAGATGTTTATGTGAAATTAGTATCTTCATAGCTTGGATTTCCTTTCAGACTCAAGGTAACTAGCAGGTTAAAGGGTAACTTTACAGGTTAAAGGGAACCCAGCTGCCAATTTATTTTGCATGTGAGAAACCTGGTCTTCCAGTCTCCTGTTGAAACTTAGTACATTTTTAGACTTCTAAATGAGGTTAGTATTTCAACCCCTCTTATTATGCTGCATAAAGATACACATCAGCTGGGCATGCTGGCACATATCTGTAATCCCATCCCAGCTACTCACAAGATGGAAGTAGACTTGAGATTCAAGGCTAGGCTAGGCAAAGATAGCAAGACTCAAAAACAAGATAGAGCCAGGCACCAATTGCTCACACCTTTAATCCTAGCTACTCAGAATGCTGAGATCTGAGGATCGTGGTTTAAGCCAACCCAGGCAAAAAAAGTCTGAGACTCATCTCCAATTAACTTCCAAAAAGCTGGAGTTGGAGCTTTGGCTCCAAGTGTGATAGGGCAGTATCCTTGCCAACAAAAGCTTAGGGACTGCCTAGGTCCTGAATTCAAGCCCTAGGACTGGCAAGAAAAAGGGGGGCGGGGAGGGTCTGGGTGTTAAGGACATGGGTCAAGTAGATGTCTAGGATTCATGAGAGAAGCTTGGGTACAGCCCTAGTGCTTCAAAAGTGCTTCAGATACACAAATGTCCTGAGTTCGATCCCAGGACTGCCAGCAATAATAACAAAAAACATAAACTAGGTTGGTGACATAAACCTGTAATCACAGCTCATTGGAAGGTATTGTCAATGCTTTGGTCAGTCCCTAGTACCACACACAAAAAAGGTACACATCAGACTCTTCATCTTTCTACCTTATTCATCTCCCATTATTTACAAGCAACATGGAAGAGTATACTAAAACCTGTAGAGGAAGAGGTTTTTCTGGAGTTGTTTACAATGAGCCATTGGTTGATCTGATAAAATGGCTGAGCTGACAGTACTAACTGATTCAACCCGGTGAGGGGCATTGAATTGAATGGCTTGTGGTTTAGAGAAAGGGGGAATGGGAGAGATTGTACCACTGAATCTGCTTGGTGCAAAGGCCACTTACCACTTCATCATCTTCTACCAGTACCATATCATAGGCACTGAGAGCTGCACAGAAAATGATGCAGGTGACTCCTTCAAAGCAGTGGATCCACTTCTTTCTCTCTGACCTCTGCCCTCCCACATCAAACATCCTGAGGGAGGAAGCAGTTGTTCTCTTATAGTATTCAACATGAGAGGTGGCCACAATGGGACCAGTGAACAAAGCCAGAAGTGGGATGAGAGAAGAACTAGGATTGGGCTCAGCAATGAACATTGGGCCTCAGCAAAGAGCACGAAGCATGCCCACACCCCTTTTTGAAACTGCACATGTGCATCTGAAGATGCCCCCAGGGAAACAGTACTTGCCTGAAATTCAAGTCTTTGACAGAAAATTTGGTTTCAATGATGCCTGTGGTTTTGACTCTGGATCGGAGTACATCTTGTTCACTGGGGAGGTAGTTGGGGTCTGTAATTCGGTCCAATTGGTTCAGGTAACTAGAGGAAAGTGATTGGCCATTGTTGACATTACATTTGCCAAGGCCAATGGAAGGAAAATATTCCTTACCCAAAGTCACAACTAATGTGATAGAACCAGGACTGGCATCTGAAGCATTAGATCTAGGATTCCTTTGAGCCCTCCTGGGCCTTACAAAAGTAAGTAGAAAGGGGGCACAGCCCATTTCAGTCATGTGTTCTGCTCAAGTCCAATAACTTTTACTTGGGTTTTGCCTTAGAGGCTTTTCTAGACCCTTGAACAAGATTTACTGGTTTAAATAGGTACAAAAATCTCATCAGGGGAGAGGAATAGATGTAAAGCGATTAAATAAAGCCAGCAGTAGAACTGTGGCTCAAGTGATAGAACTCCAGCCTTGAATAGAAAAAGCTAAAAGTCAGTACCAAGGCCCTGAGTTCAAGTCCCAGTACTAGCACTAGAAAGAAAAAAAGGTTACAAAGAAGGATGAAGGCAGATGCAAAGCAAAGTGACTCACGAAGTGAAGAAAAGTGAACATCAGTATTTAATGTAAGCCATATTCATATTTAAATTCTCATTGAACTTCATAGAAGCCTTTAAAATTTATATCCCCATTTTAGAGATGAAGAAAAAATTCAAAGGAGTTAATAGGGTGAAAAGATATTATGTAGCTGCATGTGGTATGTGGGACTAAGTTCCATACTGGAGACTAAAGCAGAAGGATCATGAGTCCTAGGCCAGCCTAGGCTGCAAAGACAGCTAGATCCCTGTCTCAAAAGCATTATGGTATAGTATTAACAAAATATTTCCCTTTGTGGACATGAGTGAAAATCAGCCTCTTCTATTTATGTATATGACCTTAGGCAAGCTAGTTATTGTGCTTCTGTTTTTTATCTTGAAGCTAGTCACTGGTAGCTTATGCCTGTAAACCTATCCAGGAAGCTGAGCTATGAGGGTTGTGGTTCAAAGCCAGCCCAAGCAGGTAAATCCACTAATCTCCAACCAGCAAAAGCCAAAAGTGGAAGTATGGCTCAACTGGTAGCATGACAGCTTTAAGCAGGATGGAGACCCCCTGAATTCAAGTCCATGTACACACAAACCCTACCTTGAAGGCTTATTGTTCAGGGATAAGAGTCTTGACTCCCTTACGTAATACACTTAACAGTGATGGCCCTGGTAAGGCAGAGCTAGGCAATAACAGCATGATTTCAAAATTCGATGACAAATGGGAATTAAACACAAATCCATTTGACTCTCAAACTCATCTGCTACTACCCCATTGCAGGTAGGATCGATAAACTGTGTCCCTTATCATTTTGGACCCAGCTTTGCAAAGTTGTCTCTTAATTCCTGACCTCCTTTCTTTGGTTTGTCCTGGCAATGTCTCAGGGTCTGTCTTAAGAGCACAGGGCTAAGGGTTGCTAGGTGGAGCACCTCTGTTTTGAATTTTGTGACTTCAGCTTTGTAGGCTGTGAAGAGCCAGCCTACAGTAATCCAGAATAGTGGGAACTGGCAGGTAGCCCTGTGGTCTTACATCCAGCCTTATGAATCTCCAGCTTTCAGTGCCTGGGTTTTCTCCTGGAGGATTGCTCAAGTGTCACCCTCCCTCCCATCCCAGTCTTACTAAGATGCAGAGTCATTGAGCTGATACTCTGCAGCTCTCTCAAAACAGGCTTGCACTCCACCATCTTTCCACAACTTCTGGATGACATCTACCAGCTCAGGGGGCATGGTCCCCTCCTCAGTGGAATCAGCCAGGTTGTTGAGCTGTCGACCATCATCCTGTAAAATGCAGAAACTTGGCTGAGAGTGATACAGGAGTCAGGCTGTCCAGAAGGCGTCTGTAAACAACCATGAATGGAAAGGGGTTTGCATTGCTACCAAAACCTAAGGTGAAAAGTCCATCTAAGAAAACTTGCAGTGAACTCTTGAGTGTACACCCTAGATATGGAGAGTGGAAATACATCCAGCTTTGAGATGCCTAGAGGATAGCAAACAGAGCCCCAGGTGCTTCCTCGTTGGTATTTCATGCTTCAGATCTTCCTCTGAAAGTGACTGCCACACAGCATGGGTCCTTTGCTTCAGGGAGATTAGAACTTTAAAACTAGAATATCCAAGAAATGGACAGCATGGAAAACGAGCCTATTACCTTTGTCCTGTCAGTAACTCAAGTCTAAGGCTAATAATACTAGAGCCAGGGCTTTTGTTTATAAAAGTTTTCATGACCAAGGCGTAAGGCCCGGGAGGAGCAATTTAAATGGTAAAGAGGAAAAAAATAAAAATGAGGAAACAAGAGTTTTGTGAACATGTTATAAAAGCAGAGGTTATTTTCCTAGGACAGAGATTTGAATCTACATATGGGATTTTAGCTACACAGAACTTTTTCTTACTATCTTTTCCTATGATTTCTTGACCTCTGGTCTGTTTCTTCTCACTAACCATCCCTGTTTCTACCCATAATCACGTAACATCAATCACGTACCGCCCGGCTTGGTTCAGCGTAGTCAATGCCTAGTGTGGACATGGCTCGGATGATAGCGAGGATGGACTGCAACACATTTCCGTAGATGACTGACTTAAACTCCAGGCATTCTTCTGGCGAATAACCATCCTGGTGAATGATCCTTCAATGGGCAGATACTCCACTTTCAGTTGGATTTAATAACCCGACCTAAGGGGTTGGGAATCTCGGGGATTTGAAGGGTCCTAAGAGTTCCATCTCTTCTGGCTTTTTTCTTTTTGCTTATGTGGTGCTGAGGAATCGAACCCAGGGCCTCATGCATGCAAGGCAAGTGCTCTACCACTGAGCCACCTTCCCAGCCCAAGTTCCATCTCTTTATCCCTAATGCTGTCTCAAAGTGTAGGAGGAAGGAAATGTTAGGAGTCAGGTTATTTATACCCAGTTCCCTACCTCCACCCCACTGGTGCCAGTACTTAGGGCTTGAACTCTGGGCCTAGACATCTTTTGTTCAAAGTGGTAGAGCACCAGCTCTATCACTTGAGCCACAGTTCCACTTGTGGCTTTTTGGTGCTTATTTGGAGATAAGAGCCTCCCAGATTTTCATGCCTTTTCATGGCTTTAAACCAAAAACCTTAGATTTCAGCTTTCTAAGTAGTAGGATTGCAGGTGTGAGCCACCAGCACCTAACTGCCTCAGTCTTGAGTCCCTCCCCTGGCCCACTGACAACTTCTCCCCACCTCTATCCTTTTGGGTCTTGTTTCTACTTACTTCATCTGTTTGACGATAGTACTCTTCCCTGATTCCCCAGCACCTGAAAGGAGAAATGTTTACCCTTCAAATCTCCATTATTCTCCCTAACATTCTAGTAGATGGTCTGAGAACTGTTATCTGGGAGCCTTGCTACAAGAAGAACACAAGAATGATTGCTGCCCTATGGTGCTCCTGGCACCATGAGCTCAGGCCATTTGACCAGGATTTAGAGCAGAGTTTCTTAGCTTTAGCACTACTTATATTGGAGGTTGGATTTTCTATGTTGTAGATGGCTGTCCTTTGCATTGTAGGAGAGTTGGAACCATTCCTGGCTTCCTCTTACTAGTATTCCACTCGAAGTTATAACAACCAAGTGTTTTCCAGATACTTCCAAATGGACCTTGGAAGTCAGTCATCCTATTAACAAGCATTGACAATCTGATGTATTCATGGAAAATTCCTTTAACAATTTCCTAAGCATCCTTTTTTTTTTTAAACTTAAGATGAGTACTCTTGGGTAGGACTGGAGAGAGCCAGAATTGCTTCACTAGTAAGTTCTTTTTTTCGTCATCTTGATGGTTCCATTAATTGACCAAAATGCCCTCATTCACACTTCTCTTACCCCATCAAACCTCACATTCCTTTCAATCCTCTCTCTCCATCTACACCAACTGTCCCATCCTTAATGCCCTCCCACTGGGTCTGTGCTTGTTCCTCTAAGCTGCTTATCCTGAACCTAAAAGAAACCTGTTTAGGCTTAAACAAATTTCTTTCAGTGGGCTTGCCATCTCTTAGATCTTCCTATATGACCCCTGGGCTCTTTGGAATCTGGGTCTAGCTTACAGAGAGATGCTCCTGTACTTTGTCCTTGGGCTGTGCCCCAGGTACACTGGGAGAAAGTGAGGCACCTTAGCCTTGATGCTTCAATCCCCAAAGAGGCAAAAACCCAGTCTATCATGTAAGTCCCTGCTGCACCTAGCTTATTTCTGAAATACTAATGATGTGAAATTTTCTTGTCTTGCTTCTATTTATAGCCATGATTAATTGAATGACTCACTGCGCTACCTTTTATTTTCTCAGCATAAACAGCATCAAGTTAATGACCCTCCCACTTAACAAAGGGCTTTAACAACTTCTTAATATTAGGAAAGGACTTTGGTGGATAGAAAGATTCCATGGCTGCCCCAATCAGGTCTCCCTACTTCCAAAGAAGAAATCAGCATATTTGGCAAGTATCAATGGACCTATCCTTGAGGCAGTGTGGTGGAAATGTGTAGTGGAACTTCAGAATCCATTCATGAAGGGAGGTTCTGTTCTCTTCTGGTTCTATGACCCAGAGTTCTTGGTATCTGCCAAGCTAACAGGAAATGTTACAATTGGAGATAGATGGGACCACCCTGGCATTTATATCATTTCTAATTCAAAAACAGTACGAAATTCAGTAACATTGGCATTCTGAGTTCCCTTAAGGTGGATGTACTGTCTCCATATTAACTTAATCCTGGTGCTCCTGCCTGACACCGATTGGAAAGAAGGAAACTGGCCTGCCCTTCAATCTCAATGGGATGTGATAGAATCTCCCCACCTCCCACAAAGCAGGAAGAAGCACTACCTTCCCCTTTTCTGGCTTCACATCTCACCCAGTAATAGCAGCTTGATGGTCTTGGCTTCCTTGTCAGCATCCTCCTGCAGCTTCTTTTCCAGCTCCTTGGACCTCTTTGCCAGTTCTCTGTCTTCAGCACTGATTCCACTTCCCATCTCTGCAGTCACTTCCTCAGCCTCTTCCTCGGGCTCCTAACACTTTCTTTGAAGTTCGTGAAAGTGAGTGAAAAAAAGAAATTGGGATCCAGTATTGTTTCCTCACTCCCCTAAAAGCTGGAAGAGACAATAGGCTACAGGTTGTTGTATTCTGCCTACCTTTGCAGACTCCCTACACCAACTAGAAACTATTAGGGATTTTCGACTTTGTCTAGCAATGTGATGGGTTAAGCCACTTAAAAGCTTAGCCCATAAGACAAAAGGCAAAGACTCAAATGTCCTGTAGGGAGGGAAGTGATTAGGATTCTGACCAGAAGGTAGGGTATGGGTCCTGAAGCTCTGAGATGCAACAAGCCCCCTCTATCCTCTTGAAAGGTCTATCCTAAAAGTCTCTTCTTTCCTGGAGTTCCCTTGCATCACAGAGCTGGAGGTTAGGGGCACAGAGCTAGTTAGCATTCTCCATGTTGAAATTCCAAATTACAGGGTTTTGGTCTCAAAGGGTTCAAGGCTGATCCCGGCAAACTGTTTTTTTTTTTTTTTTTTAATTCGGTCGTGGGGCTTGAACTTTGGGCTTGGGCTCTGTCCCTGTGCTCTTCAGCTCAAGGCTAATGCTCTACTGCTTGAGCCACAGCACCACTTCCAGTTTTCTGGTGGTTTATTGGAGATAAGAGTCTCAGACTTGGGCTGGGAAGGTGGCTCAGTGGTAGAGCGCTTGCCTTGCATGCTTGAGGCCCTGGATTCGATTCCTCAGCACCACATAAGCAGAAAAAAAAGCTGGAAGTGGCGTTGTGGCTCAAGTGGTAGAGTGCTAGCCTTGAGCTGAAGAGCTGAGGGACAGCGCCCAGGCCCAGAGTTCAGGCCCCACGACCGGACCCAAAAAAAAAAAAAAGTCTCAGACTTTCCTGCGAGGGCTGGCTTTGAACCGCTATCCTCAGATCTCAGCCTCCTGAGTAGCTAGGATTACAGGCATGAGCCACTGTTGCCCAGCTGGCAAACATTTTGTTTGAGGTGATACCCTTACCTGGGAAGATTAGAAACATTTCTCCTGGCTCTCACTAGCTACTGCTCCAAGAAGCTATAAGAATTTTCCTTCATGTTGCTATTTCTTTGGGTTTGTACTATTTGTAGTATTGGGTATGGGTATGGAACTTTCTAGGCAGGTACTCTACCACTTTCTAGCCCTTCTTCATATATATATATTTCTGTCCTTAGCATTTACCACTTCACTTTGATATACTGATCTCTTTCCTACTGTGAATTTCTCCTCTTGGTGATCAGGAAACAAATCAGATTCATCTTTATGCCCCCTCAGAACTTGTAGTTTATTAGTGGATTATCATTAAAGGTTTGGTGGTGTTAGAAATAGCTTGGGATTGGGGTTGGGAAGGTGGCTCCATGGTAGAGTGCTTGCCTTGTATGCATGAGGGCCTGGGTTCCATTCCTCAGCACCACATAAGCAGAAAAAGTCAGAAGTGGCGCTGTGGTCAAGTGGTAGAGAGCTAGCTTTGAGCTGAAGAGCTGGGGGACAGCGCCCAGGCCCAGAGTTCAGGCCCCACAACCAACATAAACAAAAAAATAGCTTGGAATGTTGGGGTGTCATATAGGAATAAGAATACCAACAAGAAAGGAACTCACCAAGGCAGTTTGCTTCTGCAGATTAGCCAAAAATGTGGCACACAAAGCAGGCAGATTGCTCCCTTTTTATCCCTCACCCAGAAGACCCTGCCCCTCTGCTCACATTGGCTGACCTCAGGTTCACAATCTGCAATAGGTAGGATGTAATTAAAATCGAGGAACTTCTAGTAGGATGTCTTAGTGCTCAGGAAAAGGATGAATGTATGTAAAATGTAGCCACCTGGTCAAAGCTGGAACCCTTCAGAAAAGCAATTCTCACAGAAAAGAAACTTTTTCTCACAGTGAGCTATGGGCAGAGGTGGCTCACATTTATATTTCTAGCTACTCAGGAGGCTGAGATTTGAAGCCAGCCTGGAGAAGAAATCTGTGAGACTCATCTTCAATCATCCACCCAAGAAGCTGAAAATGGAGCTGTGGCTCAAGTGATAGAGTGCTAGCCTTGAGTACAAAAGCTCAGGGACAGTGTCCAGGCCCTGAGTTCAAGCCCCAGAAACAGCATTAAACAAACAAATAAATATTTGGAGAATAAGAAAAGTGTGCATAGTAAAGAGGAGGGTGGGTGGGGCTGCTTTCCCTTAACCCATTAGAGACACCTGAGGCTGAGCTTCACTTGGCAAGAGAATTTTGCTGGTATTCAGAGTGGGATTAATGCCACCGGTATGCAACAAACTGCTTCCCTGGGCACCGGAGTCTGAGTTGGGGTCAGCTCTCCCTCTACCTCATACCTGCTTCCCCTCCTTGGGAGCAAAAAGGTACAATCTGGCAGTTATCCGTAGGCACTGAGCAGTCTACTAATCAGAAGACATCTCATGCCTGTTGTTTTCACTGAAATGAGTTTTTCCAGTAGAACCTTCTCAGTTGGAGATCCTTTAGAACAGTTTCCTCCCAAAGTTTCACAATCCTGAGGATCATCTGGTAAGTTTGTTTCTACCTCATGAAGTCTTATATGCCATCAAATATAAGTTTACTTAGCTTTCAAAAATGCCTATATATATATATAGATAGATAGATAGATAGATAGATAGATATCCATGAGCTATATAAACTTTTTTTTTGTGGATCCTGGGCTTGAACTCAGGCCTAGGTACTGTCCCTGAGCTCTTTTTGCTCAAAGCTAGCACTCTCCCACTTGAGCCATAGTGCCACTTCCAGATTTTTTTTGTTTATGTGGTACTGAGGAATAGAACCCAGGGCTTCATACATGCTAGGCAAGCACTCTACCACTAAGCCACATTCCCAACCCTTACATATATTTTTTATGTGTATGTTTTAAAACCAATAAATTTTAGTAATAATGTTCATCTCAGAGTCTGAGACACTATTTTAAGGTGATTATTGTCATCTGGAAATTTTGAAAACTCTGGCCTAGAATAAATTCTCAAATTTTGTGTATCAGAGAGCTTTTTTTTTTTTAAAGTACTGAATGAATTGATCTGTTCTACTGTCCAGGAATGAGGATTTAAAATTTCCTTGGGTGACTTAGGCACTAGTGGCTCATGCCTGTAAAAGTAGCTACTCGGGAGGCCAAGATGTAAGGATCATGGTTCAAAACCAAACCCAGGCCGAAAAATCCATGAGACTTTTTATGTCTAATTCCTCAATTAACCTGCAAAAAGCTGCAAGTGTGTGGCTAAAGTGGTAGAAGTACCAACACCATGTGAAAAAAAGAGAAGTTTAAGCCTCAGAACTGGCACAGAAAATAAAATTTCGTCAAGCAAGTTGGGTAGCCCTTAAGCTAAAGGATTTGTTCTTCCTATTAGCGCTGGAATTGTGTAGCAGCCACCAGTGGCATGACACAGTAGGAGGCAGAACCTGGGTCTCCCACCTATCAGACACCTCAGCCTCTCTCCCCACCTTCCAGCTGGCAATCTGAGAAGCTGGACTGGTAGAGGATGAGGCATCTCAGAGGTGTTTTCTGGGGCAGTCCTGTTTTCCTAATCGAAACTTGGCAAGTGCTTATTGACTTAAGGGAACATAGGAAAGTCCCTTTTTCCCTTTGCACAAGAAATTGGCTGTCTTGGCATCTTGGCTCTAAGGTTCCAGTAACAGTATCATACCACCAGTCCTGTTTTGTCCTACAGAATGCTGGTAATTGGTACCTAAACCAGAGCTGTGCTCGACTATCAGGAACTGTGAAAGACCATGCATGTGGCTCACAGCCTTTAATTCTGAGGTATGCTGAAGGCCCACATAGCTTAGTAACAGATAAATTAATGCTCTTTTCCACTAACACCCTCTTCCCCCCCCCCACAATCCTGCCCTCCAAACTGCCAGTAAGAGAATTCTTGGGTGAATGCTGAAACCCAGGAATGGCAATCTTGTGTTGTAAAAGAAATCTCCAACTTGTTTCTTGGGCAAAATACTTGCACATATTCCTTTCTCGGCCCCCACAGCTACAGACTTCAATGCTGTTCTGCTTTGCTTGCTGGGTGGGAAAGGTCCCCATTCTGGCCACCAAGTTGAGGGAGGGAATTCCCAGTCCTGTCCTGGTCTCTGAGAGCACATGCCCATGATGATGGGTACAGCAAGCCCAGGCCTGGGGCCTTTTACCTCACATCAGCTCTGCATTCTATAACTGTTCCAGGTGATTATCCCATTTCGAGACAAGGTCCTGGTGAAGATAAAGTAAGAAGTAAGATTCCCATTTTTTAATATAATGTTATTGGTATGATTAAGGTGTTGTACTGAAGGGTTACCATTTCCTAAGTCAGGTAATGAGTACATTTCTTTTTGGACTGTGTCACCCCCTCACTTTCCCTGTTTCCCCTGCCACTGCTCCCCTGATTCCCATTTTAAGAGTGAGTAAAGGAAGCCGGGCACTGGTGGCTCACACCTGTAATCCTAGCTACAGAAGAGGCTGAGATCTGTGAAACAAGGTGCAAAGCCAGCCAGAGCAGGAAAGTCCATGAAACTCTTATTTCCAATTAAACACCAAAAAGCCAGAACTAGAACTGTGGCTCAAGTGGAATGCTAGCCTTGAGCACAAAAGCTCAGGAACAGCACCCAAGTCCTGAGTTTAAGCCCTAGGACTAGTGCACACGCACGCACACACACACACACACACACAATAAAAAGAGTGAATAAAGGAAGCATAGATCCATGATCCTCATCAGCATATTGCCATATCATTTTGAGTGAAGAGAAATCACTCATTCCTAACCATGTGGGGCTTCTCAGGATCTGTCTCAGTCAGTGGTAGGGCTTGTCCAGGTACAGTGGGGTGGAGGCAGAGGACACATTGAAACTGGCCTTCAGGAACTTTCAGTCCAAAGGATGAAATTTACAAGAGTAACATTTTAAAAGAGACCATTACTAGTACTGGGTTTAAAAATCTCATCTCCCACAGGGTGCCCAACGCTCACCCCTGTAATACT